TGGGAAGCAGAGGTTGCAGTAAGCCAAGATCATGCCACTGCACTCCAGCCTGGGTGACAGAGTGAGACTCTATCTCCAGAAAAAAATAAATATTAAAAAAAAAAAAAAACGACTAAGAGGGCCGGGCGCGGTGGCTCATGCCTGTGATCCCAGGACTTTGGGAGGCCGAGGCAGGCAATTGCTTGAGGTCAGGAGTTTGAGACCAGCCTGGCCAACATGGTGAAACCCCATTTATACTAAAAATAAAAAATTGGCCAGGTGTGGTGGCACACACCTGTAGTCCCAGCTACTCAGGAGACGAAGGCAGGAGAATCACTGGAACCTGGGAGGCAGAGGTTGCAGTGAGCAGAGACTGCGACACTGCACTCCAGCCTGGGGAACAAGAGCAAAACTCCGTCTCAAAAAAAAAGTCCATAACACACACGTGCACACACACTGGGGCACTTGTTCAGGCAGTGGCTTAGAATGGGAGTCCCAGTCAGGGCTCGGGCACTTGTTAGCAGTCAACACACCGCATAACACAAATATGTATAAAAAAGCCTGGGATTTTATTTCCAGGTTGGCACTTGTGTAAGGCACAGGGGTCAATGGCTTTGGGGTCCCGTAACTAGAAATGGAGAGGGGTGTGTCTGAGGCCTCCCTGCCTCCACCACCCTCTAAGTGCACTTGAACAAAACCAGTGGTGGTGGCTTTGGCCCAAGGCCCTCAAGGGTCCCACTGGCTCTGGGGGAGACCTGTGGGGACAGCTCCCCAGGTGGGACTGTCTATTCTTCAGCCACCCAGGAGGGACCCTCTCCTAGGAGGCTAGGCAAGCTCCAAAGTACTGGGTGGCTCCTCAGGCTTAAGGGACCAGCCCACCAGGGAGGGCTGGGGTCAGAGAGAGAAAAGCAGGATGAGAATGAGGAGAAGCACCCCCACCAACACGGCGATGGCATACCACTGTCGGCGGTCTGGGGATGAGAAGGTCAGAGGTCACGGGGAGAGGGTACCACCTACAACCTGCCCCACCAGGACTGACCCCTCTCCCAAGGGGACTCACCACTCGTCATGTGGGATACTTTGGCCATCTTCCTGAGGACCCCGTCCATGCGGGACTGAGTGTGGTCCATCTCTTGGGCGAAGGCATCCAGCATGCTGCCAAGACCAGGATGGCGTCAGCCCTTGATGGCCCAGACACATGAGGGTGGCCAAGAGCCCTCCCACCCCCGGGGTCCTGGCCTCACATGCCCTGCTCGTCCAGCTCTTCCCCAACACGGCCGGACATGTGCTTCAGGACCCGGATGCTCCCAGACACTATCTCCAGCTGTTGATCCTGTTGATCCATGATTAGCTGCAGAGCGAAGGGGTGGGAGGTGTTGCTGAAAGGGATCCCAGAAAGCTGGGCGCGGTGGCTCAGGCCTATAATCCCAGCACTTTGAGAGGTGGAGGCATGTAGATCGCTTGAGGCCAGGAGTTTGAGACCAGCCTGGACAACACGGTGAAACCCCATCTCTATTAAAAATACAAAAATTGAGCCGGGCGCAGTGGCTCACGCCTTTGGGAGGCTGAGCCACTTTGGGAGGCGGAGGCGGGTGGATCATGAGGTCAGGGGTTCGAGATCAGCCTGACCAACATGGTGAACTCTGTCTCTACTTAAAAATACAAAAATTAGCCAGGTGTGGTGGTGTACACCTGTAATCACAGCTACTTGGGAAGCTGAAGCAGGAGAATTGCTTGAACCCAGGAGGTGGAGGTTGTGGTGAGCCGAGAGCATGCCATTGCACTCCAGCCTGAGCGACAGAGTGAGACTCTGTCTCAAAAAAAACAACAAAAAACATAAAAACAACAACAAAAAGGCCAGGCGTGTTGGCTCACGCCTGTAATCCAAACACTTTGGAGGCCAAGGCGGGTGGATCACCTGAGGTTGGGAGTTCAAGACCAGCCTGACCAACATGGTGAAACCCCGTCTTTAAAAAAAAATAATAATAATTAAAAAAAAAAATTGGCTGGGCATGGTCAGGTCACTCATCCCTGTAATCCCAGCACTTTGGGAGTCCAAGGCAGGTAGATCATGAGGTCAAGAGATTAAGACCTTCCTGGCCAAAGTGGTGAAACCCTGTCTCTACTAAAAATATAAAAATTAGCTGGGCATGGTGGAGCACACCTGTAGTCCCAGCTACTCAGGAGGCTAAGGCAGGAGAATTGCTTGAACCCAGGTGGCAGAGGTTGCAGTCAGCTGAGATCGTGCCATTGCACTACAGCCTGGGCAACACAGCAAGACTCCATCTCAGAAAAAAAAAAAATTAGCCAGGCATTGTGGTGGGTGCCTGTAATCTCAGCTACTTGGGAGGCTGAGGCAGGAGAATCACTTGAACCTGGGAGGCAGAGGTTGAAGTGAACTGAGATTGCACCACTGCACTTCTGCACGGGCCACAGAGCAAGACTCCATCTCAAAAAAATAAAAAAGGAAAGGAGGGGGGGAGGGGAAGGGGCAGGAGTTAGAGAAGAGGAGGAGGGAGGCAGTAGGAGGAGAAGAAGGAGGAGAGAAGAGAAAGGAGAAGGAAAAGGGGGAGAAAGATGGGGGAGGGGAGAAGAAGAAAAGGAAGAAGAAGAAGAAAGAAGGGGACCTCAGACTTCAGATGGGTCTGCAAGGCTCCTCCCGCTCAGGATTACCCATCCTGCCCCGAAACCTGCTGTGTGGCCTGCTGTTCCTCGATGTAGCGGGATGTGGCCGAGACGGCGCTAGCATCCAGCAGGTCACTGGGTGACTTCTGGGCAGCTGGTTTGCCCACCAGCATCTGCAGGGGCACAGAATATAGATTTGGGGAGGGACACCAACTCGTATCGGGGCATGTGAGGCAAGTCCCCATGGTGGTGAGTCAGGGAGGCAGACTCTGGCGCCAGACAGCCTGCAATCCTCACTCACCACTTATTAACAAGGTGACCCAGGAACCCCATCATTTGACCTCTCTGTGCCTCAGTTTCTTCATCTGTAAAATGCAGAAAGCAGGCCAAGTATGGTGGCTCATGCTTGTAATCCCAGAACTTTGGCAGGTGAAGGTGGGCAGATCACCTGAGGTCAGGAGTCCAAGACCAGCCTGGACAACGTGAAACCCTGTCTCTACTAAAAATACAAAAAATTTGCCAGGTGTGGTGGTGCACGCCTATAATCCCAGCTACTCAGGAGGCTGAGGTAGGAGAATCACTTGAACTCGGGAGGTGGTGGTTGTAGTGAGCCAAGATCGCACCACTGCACTCCAGCCTGGGCAACAGAGCAAGAGTCCATCTCAAAAAAAAAAAAAGGGAGAGAGAGAGAAAAAGGCAGGCATACATCCTGGAAACAGCTGCATACAGGACAAATGGCACGGAAGCAGAAAGGAGATAGGTACACAGGCCTCCAGCCCTCCTTTGCAATAAGAAACCAGTATAGAGCCAGAGGAGACAGTAGAGAGGAGCCCACGGACACATACACACAGAGAGGTTCAGGTGCACACGCCCAGAAAGTGCAGGCAGGTGGACAGCAAGAAGACAACTGCACACAGGATGGGCACTGTCACAGAAGGGACAGGTGAACACATGCAGAGGGATCTGGCTTGTACTCAACGGTGTGGTCACCCCCAGGTGCTCAGGTGGGCAGGGTGGATCAGGAAGGCTTACCTCTCTGCTATTCCTCTCCAGGAAGGCTACGGCTGTTGGGCTGACCATATGGTCCTTCATTTCCTGGAGGTGAAGACAGCATTAGGGAGGAAAGACACTCATGCTGGGTGTCGCTCATGCCTGTAATCCCGGCACTTTGAGAGGCCAAGTTAGATGGATCACCTGAGGTCGGGAGTTCGAGACCAGCCTGGCCAACACGGTGAAACCCCGTCTCTAACTAAAAACACAAAAGATAGCCAGATATGATGGCGGGCGCCTGTACTCTCAGCTACTCAGGAGAATGAGACACAAGAATCGCTTGAATCCGGGAGGTGGAAGTTGCAGTGAGCTGAGATTGTACCACTGGACTCCAGCCTGGGCGACAGAGTGAGAATCCATCTCAAAAAGAAAAGACACTCACACCTCCCCCACTCTTCCCTGCAGGACCTCTACTCACCTGGACGGCCTCTCGCATCCGCTCCACGAACACCTTTCTCTCCTGCAGGTCCCCGGCCGGGAGCTTGAACTTGCCTGGGTTGGCTTCCACTATGCGTGGGCTGAGAGTCAAGGGTCAAGGCCAGAGTCAGACATCATCTCCCTCCCTAGGGGTCCGGCCCTCCCTGAGGGCGAGCTCCCCGGCCCCTACCACCGCAGGGGGCTCCCCCATGCCAACCCCCGCCCCAAGGCCCCAGGATATCGATGGTCTCTTCCAGGTCCTCGAGGTCCCACTCGATGCTGCGCAGGCCATTCCGCAACTCATTGGTCGTCCAGTCCAGCTCCTCCCGTCCGACCGCCGCGCTCTCCTGCAGGAGCTCGCACCAGCGCTGGTACAGCCCGCGGGCCGTGTTCACCGCCTTCTGCACCTCGCTGCGGGCAGGGGCACGGCGGGCGCGGCTGGGGGCAGGCGGTCCTTCCGCCAGCCTCTGCCCCCGACTGCAAACCCAAACGCATGGGGGACTCCGGAGACCCCAGTATCCCCCTGCGTGCGCCTCCCACTCTGCACCCCGACGGCCCTGCCCAGCCCGCCTGGCATGCTGGGGCCAGCACCCGGGCACTGGCTGGCTTGGGGACTGAGCACCCTCCGCCCTCCCCCGTCGCTGTCACTCACCCTCGGACTACAAAAAAGGGGTCTTCGAGAGACATGTCAGTCCCCCTCCCCCCCAGGCCGAACCCCCTCCTGGCCTGGGTTCGCGGGCTGGTTCCCTCGCAGCTGAGAACGCGCTGCCGCCCCCGCCCGCGTCACGTCACCATCGAGAGCGGGGCCGCCAGGGGAGAAAGAGAGGCCTCGGAGGCCCGATGTGCGGGCACTTCCGCTCTCTCCGCAGCCATCTTGGTTGTGGGCAGAGGCAGCTTCCAGTCCACATGCTCCGCCCCTTGGCCCTCTTGTGCCGCCCCGTAGAGGGCGGTGTCCGAGTTCTGGTTGAGCCTGTTTGGATCCGAGTTCGGAATCTCGGTTCGAGACCCATTCCCTCGGATTGTTGCTGCGCAACCTCAGTTTCCTTTCCGAGCACGGGCAATGTAAATAATGATAGCCTCCCTTATTTCTGACGGCTGGGGATTATGGCTGGGGAAGGGGTTCATTCGATTCGTTGAATCTTTTCATGGACTCCCTAAGCTGGCACTTCGGAGATCGTCCCAGTCCAGGGTCCCGAGTTTCAGGTTTGGGCATGGTGTAGGGGAGACGCGGTACTCTCTTCTCCCCGCGGGGGCGGAGTGAGGAGCGGGCCTGCTTCTGTGGGGAGTTCTGCTGCATTTTCCCTGTCTCTTTCCTGAGAAGTGGGGGAGTTGAGGGCACTTCGAGGTCGCCTTGGGGCGAGGTGGTCTTGAGTGGAGGTCTCAGAGATGCCAGGGGCGGGGGAAGGTCATCCTCAAGAGCGTGCGTGGTGTTGGGTTTCATCAGAAGCGCGGAGTCTTTCTGGGTTCGAGCCTGGGGGTCGCGAGAGGTGTGATGGTGGCTTTGAGGATGGTCTCCCTCAGGGTAGGAGCCAGGAGTATCAGCGAAGGGACTCATAGTGTCACTCTATGTGTGACAGTGGCGCTCTGTGTGTTGGGTGGTAAGGGGAGTCTCGGGAAAACACGTTTTGAGTGGTGGGGGGCCTGGTTTCCCCTGGAGGGTGGGCGGGCTGTCTGAGGGAGTCCTCGGAGGGTCGCCCCCTTGCGCGTCAGAGTTGCTGCGTGGGCTCTCAGACATAGTGCCTGGGCTGCGGAAGTCATTGTGGGGGTCTCAGTGGTAAGGTTAGGGAGGCGGGGACGGGGGCGTCTTCCGCAAGTGGCTGCAGTGTAGCAGCTTCGTTGAATGGGGACAAGTTTGGGAAGCGTCTTTTGGGAGGGATAATTCTTGAGTCCCCAGCTGCGGGGCGGGACGGGAGGGTGTCCCAAGACAGATGACTGTGGGGCGGGGGACAAGGATAACCTGGGAAGGGGCTTTGTATGGGGGAAATAATTGGGAAGGGGAAAGAGGGATGAGGGGGCCTCAGCGGGTCGTCTCTTGTGTATGCAGGGTCGTTCTGTAGCGTCTCTGTGAGATGGCGTCCGTGGAAGCCCTGAGGTCGCCCCTACCCGCTGCGGGGTGCTTTCTCGGCGTTACGCCTTCCTGGCCCCGGGAGGGAAGGAAGTGAAACTCTCCTTCCCTCCCACCCGGCTGGATGCGGGTCAGGAAGCCTGGGGCTCCGCTGCCCCGGCGCGGGAGGGGAGGGGCGTGACCGGAGCGCAAAGCCCCGCCCCTCTCGCCCGCCCGGAAGCCCCCTTGCCGCCGGCTATGGCGATCACAGGCCCTGTCCTAATATGGGCAACCGGAAGCGGACCGCGCGACTGTCCTACGTCACTCCGTCCAAATTTAGTTGTGGAAGTCAGCGGGCGCCGGTGGCGGGAAGGCGCTGCGAGCCACTGCGGGCGGAAAGTCGGGGGCGCGCCACTCCTTAAAGGGCCCGTATCAGGAATGAATGGAGCCATTCGAACAATTTTTCATCCTTTTTTGGAGGAATTGGAATTAGGATTTCTTGGAGAGACGGAGCGTAGCGGAGGGTAGGGGGAGGTTTTCTACCTGCTTTGTCTCTGCATTGCTGGGTTTCCAGCTCCCAACCGAACCCCGCCTCCCGGGGCGCGGAGGCGGAACTCGGAACCCTAGTCTGCTGGGGGCGGCAGCCACGTGTTGACGGGGGCTGTCGTGCGCGCCGGGTTCCTCCAAACCCACCCGTGGAGCTTCTTTCGCGGGAAGCTGCGGGGGGATGGCTCGGTAGGAATCACGGAAACCCGCAGCCTGGGGCGGCTCACCGCTTACAAACAAGGGCTGGCGTACGCCAGAGACCGAAGAGCTGGAGGCCCCAGTGGCCTCCTTTCACAGCAGTAGCAAATATCGTTTGTTTAGCATATACTGGCCCAGTGACTCTACCTTGGTTTCCCCACTGGAAGGAAGCAGATAGGACAGTGTCCTCCGCGGAGTGGAGGTGAGGGATCGGTGAGTTATTGATAAAGGGAGCGCTCTTAACCGCGCCTGGCAAGTAGTAAGAGCTGTTAGCATGATTATTGGTGCAGAAAACACTCATTAGACACACCTGGTAAATGCTAGGAACAGTGCCTACCGGGGATGTTCAGGCTGGAAGCCGGGTCTTCCCCTGTGTGAAGGGAAACTTGTCGCCCACGAGCCACTGGGGCCTCCAGACGGCGAGCATGTGGGTGGGCCCTGAGCCCCATCCCCGGACCCCCTACCCTGGGCCAACGCGCGCAGGCGGGGCTCAAAAAAAGGAGCCCACCGGAGAGCTGAGCGTGGAGTGGGGGGATGCTCCTCCTCGCCTAGGTTCCCGTTCCCTTTCCCTGCTGGGTAAATCGCATTCTATCGCTTTAAGGAATGTTTGGCCGCGTTTAGTTGGAAAGCCCGGATGCGTCCCTCGGATTGGGCGGGGCTTCTCAGTGACGTCACTGGGGGTATAAAAGGGCCCGGGTGGCGGGCGCCGGGGCAGAGCGTCCTGGCAGTGTCACTGCGTGGGTTGGTTCGTGGGGAGACGCGTTAGCGAGCCCGTTGTCTGGAGTGCACCTGCCGCCTGTCCTATCCGTCCCGGGAGTCCCCGCTGCGGTCGCCGTCGAGTCGCCATGGAAGTGCAGAAGGAGGCACAGCGCATCATGACCCTGTCGGTGTGGAAGATGTATCACTCCCGCATGCAGCGCGGTGGCCTGCGGCTGCACCGGAGTCTGCAGCTGTCGCTGGTCATGCGCAGCGCCCGGGAACTCTACCTCTCCGCCAAGGTGGAGGCCCTCGAACCCGAGGTGTCCTTGCCGCCCGCCCGCCCCTCTGACCCTCGCCTGCACTCGCCCCGGGAAGTCGAGTCCACGGTCGAGACAGCGACCGCTGACGGCGAGCAGCCGTCTCCGGAGCCCATGGACACTCAGGAGGCGCCGACTGCCGAGGAGATCCCCGCCTGCTGTGCCCCGCGCCCAGCCAAAGTCAGCCGCAAACGACGCAGCAGCAGCCTGAGCGACGGCGGGGACGCGGGACTGGTCCCGATCAAGAAAGCCCGTCTGGAAGAAAAGGAGGAAGAGGAGGGGGTGTCATCCGAAGTCGCCGATCGCCTGCAGCCCCCTCTGGTGCAAGCGGAGGGCGCTTTTCCCAACCTGGCCCGCGTCCTGCAGAGGCGCTTCTCCGGCCTCTTGAACTGCACCCCCGCAGCCCCTCCGACGGCGCCGCCCGCGTGCGAGGCAAAGCCCGCCTGTCGTCCAGCGGACAGCATGCTCAACGTGCTGGTGCGGGCGGTGGTGGCCTTTTGAGGACCCCAAGCGGCGCTGCCGGAGCCCAGAGCGCGCGTCGAACCGTAGGCCCCAGGGTGCAGACCGGAGACGAGGTCACCCCCTCCTTCCCGGCGGGAGCGCCCGCGAAAACCGTGGAGAGAAGCCGCCGCCCGGGCTGCTGAGAGGCCCGGAGAGGGACTCTGTCCCCAGGGAGCCGTCGCCTTCAGTGTGCAGCGACGGCACCGAGGAGTCTGAGCCGGGGGCGCGGGCGCCTTCCGCAGAGACCTGCTGCGCCCACAGGTGCTGTCTTAGTGGACTGGGAAGTGGACCTTTCACTCTCCTGGACTGGGAGAAGGGAGGCTTGGGTTTTTTTGTTTTTTAAGATCTCAGGGTCGGACTTCATTTTGTACTGGGGGCTGTGCTGGCCCTTTGAAGGTTTTTCAAGAGTTGATTTTGCGTTTCCAACCTCAGAATTCCTGGCGCGCCCCTTCCCCCTCCACTGACATACTTGTGTAAACGGTCATCGTTGCGTCATGGGGCAGGCTTGGGGAGTTTCCTGTCGCCTTGCGTGGGTGTGGGGCCTGGGAGGAGGATCTGGTGCGTAGACCCACCCTGGAGAGTGGGAGGAGAGTGGCCTGAGTCACTTCACCCCCGCGTGCTGCTGGTTGACGTCCCGCGCCTCTGCACCTCGGGTGGGAGCGGGGGCTAATGTAGTTTCACATTGAAAATTTTCTCATCTGGTGCATTAGGGGTGGCTAGGAGGTTCCCCAGGTTCCAGCGTGCCCCTACCTCAGACACGGACACAACCCAGATGTTCCTGGTCTGAATCACGAGACTATGGAGGGGTGAGGGGTGGCAGTGGAAAGGCATAAGGCTGGGCTGGGACCAGTTGCTGGTGAAACTGGGCTAGTTTGGGGAGGGGGACATCTTCGACAGGGAGTTTTTGAGGGTCTGTTTACCTTTCCTGTGGTGGATTCTTTTTAATTCCGTCTAACCTGGCGTTTTGTTAGAAATGTCAGGAAAATAAAGACCATTTGAGTAAAAAGGTCGGTGCTGTCTGGTTTTCTGCTCTGGTGGAGGAGGGGCAGGGTTAAAGGGTCAGGGGCTGGCGGCGGCTGGCTGGGGCCCCAGGAACCGGTCTGACCGGTTGCCATGTGGGCGGGAGAGGGCTGGGCCCCCTTTTCCTTGCCCGGGCATTCCCTAGCTGGTGGAGCCCCACCCCCCAGATTTGGGGGTTCCCTTGAAATTGTCCTCCAACTCTGGGATAGGGGGCTTTCTTAGTTGAGACGCTTGAGGGGTAGTGCCAAGCACAGTGTCCAAGCAGAGTTGGGGATCGATCACACTTTGCTTCAAAGATGGCAGATCTTGCCACCTGCTTTCCCGCCCCGACGACCCCCTTAATCAACTGAATCAGCTGCGGCCGGGGTCCTAGGCCTCAGGTGGAGCTGAGCGGGTGAGCTTTGAAGGGCCCTTTACCTGGTCATCGCTGTGTGGCTCAGGCAGGGAGATGCAGCCTCAGTTTCCTCATCTGTGAAGTGGGCCTCTAAGCAGCTTCTCTCCACCCGCCTTTAAGTTTCTAAAAATGCCCATTGGAGCCCTAGTTATTGGCTTGAGTCACTCCCCAACTGGAGAATAGCCACCCCGAGAGGTGAAAGCCCTTTCAATATCCCCCACGTCGGTTTAGGAGTGGGGCTTTAGGCGCTGCCCCAGGGCGGAGGGAGGAGGGCTGGCAGGAAGACAAAGGAGTCCCAGGTGCGGGGAGTGGTGGCGGCGGGAGGCGCCGGGAAAGCGCTCGCCCCGCCCCCCGACGGCTGGCTCGGCAGCCGCTGGCTTCCCATTACCCCAGGGGAACTGACCCCAAGACTGGAAAGTAGAAGGAGGGGCAGGCCAGCCCCAAATCGTCTGCTGGTGGAATCTGGGCGCTCTGGCTCCCCTCCCGCCCAGTCCACACCCCTTTCCCCTCCTGTGTGGATTGTGAAGGAGAACTTCGCACCGTTCTCCCTTAGCCAAGCTCGCCCCCACGGCTGCCTGATTCCTTCCTGGGAACACGTGGGGGGACTTTTAAAAGTCGCCACCTACTCCAAGTCCTAACCCACCCAACTCCCCCACGGAACGTGGGGGCACTGGAGCCCCACACCGCAGGCGGTAGCTCATTGCACCCGCGTCGGACTTCCTCCCCTGCGAGCCTGGCCTGGCCCGACCCGGGGAAGTCCGGGGCCCCTGGGGAGGGGGCCTCGCGCGCATCCTGTCGCAGGAACCGCCGAGCCCTTCCTTCCGCGGGAAGCGGCTTGGCCGACCCCCGCCCCCGCCAGGGCCTCTTGGGGGTTTCCGGTGCCCAGCCACCGTGGGGCTGGGGACTGAAAGTGATGGGATAGAAGATGAGGCTGGAACAAATACCCTACAGACACCTTCCCTTAAGACACACCCATCCCCAAGACCCCATTGGACCCATCAGAATAGGCAGCGTTGAATCTTGTCACAGCAAATGACATTGGTGAGGTCTGGACTAATTGGACACTAGCTGTGAAAACGAAAAAGTTCACCCATCCTGTGACCAGCAGGTTCCAGCAGGGAACCCCAGGCCTGCAGCAGGAGACTCCAGAGAGGTGTTTGCTGCTGGCTGGTACTAAGTTGGCACAAACTGCACACAGTAGTACGCATATATGCCCATCCTCCCAGAGGATAAGAGGCCTGAGCCAGACAGAACTACACACACAGGCCACACAGGTGATTCGGAACCAGAAACATGTTGAAGGGTGACAAAGGCCAGCTGCAGAAGTCCGGTAAGAAGCACATATTCTGGGCCCACTGTAGAGGCTCATGTCTGTAATCCCAACACTTTGGAAGGCAGAGGTGGGTGGATCACCTGAGGTCAGGAGTTCAAGACCAGCCTGGTCAACATGGTGAAACCTTGTCTCTACTAAAAATACAAAAATTAGCCTGGTGAGGTAGTGGGTGCCTGTAATCCTAGCTACTGGAGAGGCGGAGGCAGGAGAATCACTTGAACCTGGGAGTTGGTGGTTGCAGTGAGCCAAGATCACACCACTGCACTCTGGCCTGGGCTACAGAGCGAGACTCCGTCTCAAAAAAAGAAAAAAGAAGCACATGTTCTGATTTTGGAGGGAGACAGCCAGGTCTACTTTCTTGCTCTGCAACCTTGAGCAAGTCACTTGACCTCTCTGGACCTGTTTCCCCAACCGTATATTGGGGACAATAATAGTCCCTGCTTTTTAGGTTTGTTGTAAGGATTAAGTGAGATTACGCATGTACAGTGCTTAGAGTGCCTGGCACATAGAAAATGCTATATGTGGCCAGGCGCGGTGGCTCACGCCTGTAATCCAAGCACTTTGGAGGCCAAGGCGGGCGGATCACCTGAGGTCAGGAGTTCAGAAACCCCGTCTTAATTAAAAAAAAAAAAAAAAAATGCTATATGTGCTGGGTGCCACGGCTCATGCCTGTAAGCTCAAAAATTTACAAGGCTGAGGTGGATCACTTGAGGCCAGGAGTTTTCAGTGTAATCATGGCTCAATGTAGCCTTGACCTCCCAGGCCCAAGCAATCCTCCCACCTCAGCCTCCAGAGTAGTTGGGACTACAGGTGCACATCACCACATCCAGCTAATTGTTTTTCTTCTCTCTCTTTTCTTTCTTCTCTTTTTTTTTTTTTTTTTTTGAGATGAAGTCTTGCTCTGCCACCCAGGCTGGAGTGCAGTGGCACAATCTCGGCTCTCTGCAACCTCCGCCTCCTGGGTTCAAGTGATTCTCCTGCCTGTTTCACCATGTTGCCCAGGCTGGTCTTGAACTTCTGAGCTCGGTGATCTACCTGCCTCAGCCTCCCAAAAGTGCTGGAATTACAGGTATGAGCCACCGCACCTGGCCGGAATTTTTTGTATTTTACTAGAGACAAGGTTTCACCATGTTGGCCTGGATAGTCTCCATCTCCTGACCCTGTGATCCACCCACCTCGGCCTCCCAAAGTGCTGAAATTACAGGTGTGAGCCACCCTGCCCAGCTCTTTTTTTTTTTAAATTTATTTTTTATCTTTTATTTTTTTTAAGATGGGGTTTCACCATGTTGGCCAGGCTTGCCTTGAACTCCTGATCTCAGGTGATCCACCCACCTTGGCCTCCCAAAGTGCTAGGATTACAGGCGTGAGCCACCGTGCCAGGCTGCTCTTTCTTTTAACAGGGTCTTGCTCTGTTGCCTGGGCTGGAGTGCAGTGGCACGATCTTGGCTCATTGCAACATCTGCCTAACAGGTTCAAGAGATTCTCCCACCTCAGCCACCTAAGTAGCTGGGATTACAATTGCACATCACTACGCTCTGCTAATTTTTATACTTTTTATAGACACAGAGTTTCACCATGTTGTCCAGGCTGGTCTCAAACTTCTGAGCTCAGGTGATTTGCCTGCCTCAGCTTCCCAAAGTCCTGGGATTACAGGCTTGAGCCTGTAACCTGTAACCTGTAAGCTGGTCATATTTATCTTTTACTTAGCATCTGTTCCCTAACTCTTTTTTTTTTTTGAGACGGAGTTTCACTCTTGTTACCCAGGCTGGAGTGCAATGGCGCGATCTCGGCTCACCGCAACCTCCGCCTCCTGGGTTCAGGCAATTCTCCTGCCTCAGCCTCCTGAGTAGCTGGGATTACAGGCACGCGCCACCATGCCCAGCTAATGTTTTGTATTTTTAGTACAGACGGGGTTTCACCATGTTGACCAGGGTGGTCTCGATCTCTTGACCTCGTGATCCACCCGCCTTGGCCTCCCAAAGTGCTGGGATTACAGGCTTGAGCCACCGCGCCCGGCCGGCTCCCTAACTCTTTTGAATTAACTCTTTTGTTACTTCTGTTGATTCCACCAATGTCCAACCTGGTCCTGAATGAGTGAATGAGGTTGTTTTGGGTAAATGAGATTGTAAGTAATAAGCAGGTAGCTTATTTAATCAGTGGCTTCTACATGACAATCTCATTTAATCAGTGGCTTCTATGTGACTCTTAGATGGTTGAGGGGGTCAACCAACAACCGTACTATTATTATTATCATTTACAGACAGGGTCTTGCTATGTCGCCCAGGCTGGAGAACAGTAGTGCCATCATAACTCACTGCAGCCTCTATCTCCTAGGCTCAAGCAGTTCTCCCACCTCAGCCTCTGGATGAGCTGGGACTGCAGGCATGTGCCACCATGCCCAGCTAACTGTATTCATCTAATATGTATGTGTGTGTGTGTATATATATATATATATATATATATTACCCACTTATTAATCACTTACCCTATTTAGAAGGTAACTGTTTCTTAAAAAAGGTTACAATGAAAATAAAACAGATAGCAAGGGGAGAGATGCCAGATGTAGGTGATGGGGAGGAAGGCAGCAAATCACACTGCCACATGTGTACCTATGCAACAATCTTGCATGTTCTTCACATGTACCCCAAAACCTAAAATGCAATAAAATAAATGGGGGAAAAAAAAGAAAAGAAAAGAAAACAATGTCAAAAGACCCTGAGACAGTAACAGTTTCGACAGTTTCAAAGAGAGATTAGCCAGCGTTAAAGACACATTGTTTCCAAGGGAAGATCATGCTTGGGCCAGAAGGAGGTAAGGTGACAAGGGAGGCATTTGCTGAGATTCAGTCCACAATATTTAAATAACATTGAATTGGGCTGGTCACGGTGGCTCACGCCTGTAATCCCAGCACTTTGGGAGCCCGAGGCGGGCAGATCACAAGGTCAGGAGTTTGAGACCAACCAGGCCAACATGGTAATACCCTGTCTCTATTAAAAATACAAAAATTAGCCAGGCGTGGTGGTGGGCACCTATAGTCCCAACTACTCCAGAGGCTGAGGTGGGAGAATCGCTTGAACCTGGGGCCAGGGGGCGGAGGTTGCAGAGAGCTGAGATTGTGCCACTGCACTTCAGCCTGGGCGACAGAGTAAGACTCTGTCTCAAAAAAAAAAATTTTTTTTTCTTTGGTAATACTTATCCCAAGTACAATTTTACCTTTGTAGAATTAAACGGTTTTTTCTGAGTTAGTCTTTTCTTGTAGCCTGTTGCCTCCATGAAGGCAGGGATCAAGATGCCTAATTAAGTGGATTTTTGTGAATGAATGATGTCTTTGCAACCCTCGTTTGAGATCTGTCCTTTTTAACGTCCACTGTGTGCAGATGAGGAAACTGAGGCCCATAGAGTTTTGCTCTGCAAGATAGCAAGTAAAGGACAGCTCTAGTCAGATCCCCTATCCCGAAGCCTCCTCCCCACTCTTCCCTGCCCTGCCAAGCAGGACCCAAGGGAAGGGCGCCCCAGTTCTGCCTCTGTAGATCTGGGAAAGGGCCGGGCCACAGGTCGGGACCAGCTCAGAAGCAACACCCAGACCGGTTTACCCGGTTCCAGGACCTTGGGCAAAGTCCACCCGTCCCAGGGCAGGGACGACGCAGGCTACGCCGCGGCCCAGTTGCTAGCCGGACAGGGCGGGGACTTCATCTTGTCTAGGAAATGTGAGCGGGAGGCCGAGCACTGAGAGTGGGTAGGTAGTCACTACATGGGGCGGAGCCATCCTTTGTCTACCACGCCCAAGGGCGGGACATGCAAATTAACTTCCGCCTTGGCTCCCCACCCCCCCCAGGCTCCGCCCCCGTGCGCTGCAACCCGCGACTTCCAAGAACTCCCTGCGTGGTCAGTGGCCCGGGCCACGCCCCCTTCCCGGACTCGCGCTGCCAGTCCCAGGGAGGCGGGGGCAGAGCTTGCGGCGGAGCGGGAAGGCGGAGGCAGAGGCAGCGCCCAGGGCCTGGAGGCGTCAGAAACGTGGGGAAGTCGCGGCTTCTGCACCTCCCTCGGGGGTTCGGCTCCCAATCTGGTAAAAGCGCCGAGAGAATGAAAGTGTAATGGGATTTGCCAGAGTTTGAGGCTCACACTACCCTCTGACTTGGGGGTTGCTGAAGCCTTCACTTGTATTCAGGGGGGCCGGAACCACACACCTCTGTCCAGGGGAGCGCACAACCCGCTGTGTTCAGGACAGCCTAGACCCTACCCTGTTTTTTACAGTGTCTCGGGGAACCCAGAACCCTAATAGCTGTGTCTAGTGGAGCTGAGATCCACACACACCTGTGTTTGGGGAGCCCAGATCTTCCCCACCTGTGTCCAAGGAAGCCCAGACCTCCGCCGGGTCTGCGAGCCTCCTGGCCCCATGGGCCCCTCCCCCAGTATACCATTGAGTCTTAGTTAAGACATAATCCCCGCATTTACTGTCCCCCGCCCCATGCCCCAGCTCTCTCGCACCTCGGCGGCTGGCCGGACCCCCTGGGGTGCCGTCCTCCCAGCCGGCTGGCCACCCGACTGGCACCAATTAATTTCCCCCTCGGCCTGTCCACCCAGGGCCTCGGCCTGTCTGGTTGCCAGCTGCTCACCCTCAGCCAGCCCGCCCCCACGGGCTCCCAGGGAATTGCTAACAGTTCTCCTCCGTGCATCCCCCTCCACCCCAATCCAGCCCACCCCACCCAGCACTGTTAATCAGAAAAAGCTGACACGACCTGGAGGCGTGACCTGAAATCGGATGGAGAAGGGGTGGGATGTTAAACTTTGGGACCCAGGGACGCTTGGGGTGGGGTGGGGGCATGGTTAAATGGAGGCAGGGGCCCCGGTTGTACCTAAGAACCCCAAACTAAAGGCTTTTGGCTTCTACATTGGACTGCAGGGAGGGCTGACTCCCTCCCACACACACCAGGTGGGCAAGGTGGAGGCCCCGCCTCGGAAATTGCCCGTCCCCCAACCCCGACAAGATGCGGCAGTGACAGCTGTGCCTCCCCAGCCCGCACCCAGCTGGTTTCCTTTTCCTGTGCACGCTCTCCCGACGGGCTGGCCTTCGGCCTGGAGAGACTCCCTGGCCCCTTGGAAGGGGCTCCCCAGAGGGTCTTCCTGGACGAGGGGGAGGGGACAGGCTGGAGAACAATGGGGCTTCTGTGGCTGCAGGACGCCAGGCACTTCCTGTTAACCCTTTCCTCAGGGTGCAGTTGCAGGGAGCACCTTTCAGGTCCCGCCTTGTGTGGTGCGGGGAGAGGCAGGCCGAGGGGAAGTCTTGTTGCGGGAATTAACTGTTGGGTTAATTGAGGCTTTTATGAGTGTGATTAGGAGGGGTGAGGTGAATCACACCTTTTTTCCTTGATGGAGTTACAGGGCTTTCTCCTTTATTGCAGAGGGCTGTGCAGCCAGGGACCGGCAGAGCTAGCTTGGGAGAAGCCTGTGCACTGAGCTCTGAGAGATTCCAGGCTTCTCCCCAGATAGGTTACACCAGGATCTCCAGGGCATGGACAGGGATGGCATTGGGGGACCCAGCCATCCCAGGTAGATCCAAGGAACAGCCGTGTCTGCAAAGAGGGCCACGATCCCTGAGCAGTTCCCTTGGCAGCCTGGGTCTCAGTTTTCCTTGGTTTGAGAAGTTCTCCCAAGGGCCCGCCAAAAGGACGTGGCAATCTAGGAGCTCCCTAAGGGGCAGGAGTGGGCCAGGAGCCTTGGAAACGGTTTGTTCCTTCTGGGAGCACTGGGAAGTCCTGTCGAGGGAATTAGCTGCTTTGTTAATTGAGGCTTCAAGCCAAGTCCCCTCTGTTTACACAGAGAGTCTAAGAAGTGCTCTGGGAAGATTACCAGAGCCTCCAAAGGCCCCTTTGCTTCTGCCCTGGAGGCTTCCGGTTTTTTGCAGATACGATAACCTCCCCCATAGTCAAGATGGAGAATTACTGATGTTTTTGGCAGGCCAGGTCCTGAAGCTATGCTGTACTTGGGCATTTCCATGCATTCACCTTTTTTTTTTTTTTTTTTTTTGATACAGGGTTTCACCATGTTGGCCAGGATGGTCTGGATCTCTTGACCTCGTGATCCGCCCACCTTAGCCTCCCAAAGTGCTGGAATTACAGGCCTGAGCGACTGCACCCTGCCAGGTAGGCACTTACATTAGTCCCATTTTACAGACGAGGGAACTGAGGCACAGAGTGATTAAGCAAAGTGTCCAGGGTTACCCTGTACAGAAAGTCAACCCATTGGCTTTCTTCCTCTTCTGGACTTTTTTTTTTCTTTTAGTAGGAAGGAGGAGGGCGTTGGGACCTTTGTCCTGGTCCGTGAACTTTTGCTTAAATCCAGCTTCTAGCTTCTATCTCTGGTTCTCAGATAAGGAACGAGGCTCCTGCTGGGAGCTGAGAGCTGCATGCACCCCAGGTCTCCTCGCCACTCCTGGGCGACCTGTTTCTCCTTCTCTCACATCCAGGGCTGATCACCCACTAGGCTCCGTCTTAGACTCATTTGTCGGGTCACTTCATTACCCTCTTCTCTCCCCTTTCCACAGATGAGATCTTCCCGGGGCTAATCTGGGCACACTCAGTCCAGGGGCTCCATAAAGACAAAGTTATTTATTGTTGTTCACGTGTTTATTTGTTTTGTAAACATTATTATTTTGAGACCGAGTCTTGCCCTTTCGCCCAGGCTGGAGTGCAGTGGCACGATCTCACTGCAAACTCCACCTCCCTGGTTCAAGCAATTCCTCTCCCTCCCGAGTAGCTGGGATTACAGGCGCACGCCACCATGCCTGGCTGATTTTTTTGTATTTTTAGTAGAGACTGGGTTTTAGTATGTTGGTCAGGCTGGTCTCTTAACTCCTGACCTCAGGCAATCTGCCCGCTTCAGTCTCCCAAAGTGCTGGGATTACAGGTGAGAGCCACTGCGCCCAGCCCTAGACATTATTTACTGAGCAAGATCAAACTGCTAGACTGAAAAGGCTGCTGCAGGTCTCCTCACCCTGCCCCCGCACCACTCTGCACTACCCATCCTTACTGGTGTCTGGAATCAGCAGGGTCCTGGCAGAGTGCACAGGAAAGGAAATGGCTCATTGCTTCAGTCTTTAGACCCCAGGGCAGGGAGGGCCTGTCAGGAGGCCACCTAGTCAGGGTCCTATCAGAGGCCAGAGGGGCCTGGGTTACAGCAGCTGGGGCTTGGTGAGCTTTGGGGCCTGGGCTCCAGGCCAGCCCATTGCCAATCAGTCTTCACCTGAGACCCCCTTTCTCCCAGCCCCCACCCCCAGTCCCCTTCCTTCTCTCCCCTGCTGCTGAGGCCCGCCCTTCCGGAGTGAGACTTGATTTGGTTTCTCAGGGACCCGGAAGGCCTGAAGCAAACCTGCAATTACCGCCTGGTATCTGCGGGCTGCAGCTCTCAGACTCTGGGTGAGGTGGCGGTAGGTGGGGCGGGGCTCGGGGGACCCTTCCTCCCCTTCGGGCTGCCGACTGGGAGAGGCTGCTGAAGTCTGCAGTCCTGCCTTTCCACGCATCCTCCAGACACTTTCTAAATTCCTGTGGACGCTGCCTTATAAACAAATACCGGAATTTTCAAAGTGCTGTCTTGCCATTTGGGACCAGAAATTTCCTCCCAGGAGGGTTGGATGTGAAGCCAGTTTGGAGGGGAAACTGAGGGTGCATGCCCCTGGGGCTGCCAAAGCCTTCTCTTTAGTTCAGAAGTTTTGTTTTGTTCTGTTTTTGAGACAGAGTTCACTCTTGTTGTGCAGGCTGGAGTGCACTAGCGGGATCCTCACTGCAACCTCCACCTCGTGGTTTCAAGGGATTCTCCTGCCTCAGCCTCCCGAGTAGCTGGGATTATAGGTGCCCACCACCTAGCCCAGCTAATTTTGGTATTTTTAGTAGAGATGGGGTTTCACCATGTTGGCCAGGCTGGTCTCAACTCCTGACCTTGTGATCTGCCCACCTCAGCCTCCCAAAATGCTGGGATTATAGGCGTGAGCCACCGCGCCCAGCCTTTCTTCTTTTTCTTTTTTTCCTTTGTTTGTTTTTTTTTTTTAGAGACAAGGTCTCGCTCTGTCGCCCAGGCTGCAGTGCCGTGTTGTGATCATAGCTCACTGCAGCCCTGAACCCCTGTGCTTAACTGATCCTCCTGCCTCAGCCTCTTGAGTAGCTGGCACTGTAGGTACACCACCATGCCTGGCTAATTTTTAAAAATTTTGCAGATATGTGGTTTTGCTATGTTGCTGAGGCTGGTCTGGAACTCCTGACTTCAAGTGAGCCTCCTGCCTCTGCCTCCCAAAATACTGGGATGAGCTACCACACCTGGTCATTGTCCCTCTTTCTCATGACCCTCTGGACATCCCTGGGGTGGAGGGCGGGGCAGGCCCACACATCCCTCAAGCTCCCAGTGGCTCCACGGTGACTAAGCCAGCCCTGTCCCTGAGACTGGGAGGCTAGAGCTAGGCTCCGCCCCATGGCCTCACATCCCAAACTTGAACCTGGGTTTCTGGTCAGGCTGGAAGGGTGAGCTCGGTCTCCTTAATGCTCAGAACTGCCTTCTCCAGACCCAGTGGGTCCCACACAGCCAGGCACACCCCATCCCACAGGGCTCTTGGGAATTTCTCTGCCCCACCCTCGGGCTGCCTCAGACAGACCAAGGTTACCTGTGATTGTCCCAGATAACCCAAGTGGGCCCATCCCCTGCTCTGGGTGGCTCCCTCCTTGCAGCTGACCTGTACATTTTTTTTTTTTTGGTGAGACAGAGTCTTGCTCTGTCACCCAGGCTGGAGTGCGGTGGAGCCATCTCTACACTGCAGCATCTGCCTCCCGGGTTCAAGTGATTCTCCTGCCTCAGCCTCCTGAGTAGTTGGGATTACAGGTATGTGTGCCACCACACCCGGGTAATTTTGTATTTTTATTAGAGATAGAGTTTTGCTTTGTCGGTCAGGCTAGTGTTGAACTCCTGACTTCAAACGATCCACCTGCCTCACCCTCCAAAAGTGCCGGGATTACAGGTGTGAGCCCCTGCAGCTGGAAAACCTGTACATTTTGAAAAGCTGAGGATACATCCTCAGCAAGG